CGGTATTCTGTATACTCCTGCGGAACTGAGTGGCGGTCTTGGATCTTTGGGGTTTCTTAAGATTTGTCCTATCTTTTTGGGTGGTTTGTAGATAGTTCGGATATTGTGTTTGTTCAATATCCTGCCGATCCGGTCTGTAGTTCCTTTGACGTAAGGGAGAATGGTTAGGGTCCTGTCGTCTGTTTGTGTGTTCGGAGCCGTTGTCTTGTTTGTGTGTTTGTTGATTGTTTTGGTTATGTCTTTTTTGTCGTGTCCATTGTTTTGTAGGGCCTGTTTTAGATGGTTTATTTCTGTCCGTAGATGTCCTCTGTCGGAGATGGCGAAGGCTCTGTGTACCAGTGAGTTTATTACTGATTGTTTTTGTGCTGGGTGGTGGTGTGACTCAGCATGTAAGTATCTGTCCGTGTGTGTTGTTTTTCTGTACACTTGATGCCCTAGGGTGCCGTTGGCCTCCTTTGACACCAGCACATCTAGGAATGGGAGTTTCCCGTTTTCCTCTATGTCTATGGTGAAACGGATATTGGGGTGTTGTTTGTTGAGGTGGATGAGGAATTTTCGGAGTTCAGATCTGCCGTGTCTCCATATCACAAATGTGTCGTCTACGTACCGGAACCAGACTTCTGGTTTCTTTGGTGCTTTCCTGAGAGCCTCTTTCTCGAAGTGTTCCATGAAGATGTTAGCGATTACAGGAGAAATCGGAGAGCCCATAACTGCTCCTGACGTTTGTTCGTAGAAATGGTTGTCGTAGGAGAAATACGTGGTCGTTAGGCAGTGCTCTATTAGTGGTACATCAAAAATATGAAATGGAAATGATTTTTTAATGCGATGACGTATCTTACTTTCTTTAAAAATTTAACATTTTGGATTTCGCATCACGATATATTCGTTCGTAGGATGTATACAAGTAAAATAAATACTTATTATATAATTCTGATCCATGTTGTTCATTGAGCTTATATTCAGAAATCGATCGGTCCAGCCTTTATTGAAAAACCAAGTGTGGGACCGATAAGCTCGCAACTCGCTAACTCGCGTAAAGACATGAGGCGGTCTAGCGTTGTGCGTTCACTTGGCGCGAGACACCGTGTCTCTTGATTATTGCTGTTATATATACAATATATATATATATATA